TAAATATACATAAACAGTATCTCTATAGTCCTTTAAACAGACTTTAAATTTATGCATAACAACAAGGATTTACTGTATAGCAGAAAGAACTATATTCAATATCTTGCAATAACCTGTAATGGAAAATAATTTTAAATGAATATATATATAAATAAAACCAAATCACTCTGTTGTATGCCAGAACTAACGCAATATTGTAAATAAACTATATGTCAATAAAAAAAATAATGCATAAGTTTCAAGTGTTCTCAGAAGTTTCTTCTATTCCACTGTCCTAAAAATATCTTCCTATGGTCACTCATAAGTTCTATTTTTATATTTAGGTATTTAATCTATATATAACTTATACCAAGTTCCCATATATAAATATTGTCTTAATTTAAATTAAATTAAGCCCATTGACTTGGACCTTTACTTTTCCAAATGAACTTCAGAATCTGCTGTTAAAGTCTATAAAAAATTATTTAGGGTTTTGAATGAAAATGCACTGAATTTATACACCAATTTGGGAAGTGACTTATTTATGACACTAAGTCTTCTCATTCATTAACAGAATATCCTTCTCCACTTATTAGTCTCAATACAATTTTATAATTTTCTCCAGTAACGTCTTACATATTTTTGGTAAACTTTATTTTTAAGCACTTCATAGTTTTGTTACAACTGTAAAACACTAGAAATGGAGAGTTATATAGAATTCCAGGTAAGGGAGAGTAATGGTCTAACAAAAAGAATATTCATAGTGGAGAGATAAGTAGATAGATCAGAGAATACTGAGCCTGTAAATAGACATGGGTTTGATAACTATATCATATTTAAAGGAAAGAAGGGGAAAAATGAAAACAACTACAGGGAAGATAGTGCCATTCATTCAGATATGGATATAAAATGTCAAAATTCAGGTTAAAAGATGATAGAGACTTTCCATATGCTATATTTGAAGTGCCTGTCTAACAGGCAAAAAGTGGGCCTAAACACTCAGGAGAGATATTTGAGTTAGAGGTTTGAAAGTCATAAGTAAGTGAAGACATGATGTGATACAAGATTGCCCAGGGACAGAGGTGAAGTGTAGACAAACCTAGGGCCTTGAAGACAGTAAGAACTAAGGGATGAGCGGCAGCAAAGGAACTCAAAAGGTGACTGATGACTAGATGAGAGATGAAAGATCTGTACAGTGTTACACAAAATAAGCTATTCACATATTTGTTATTGCAGTTTACTTGTATGACATAAATCATCTTTGATATAAAGGCAGGAATCAATCTCTATGACATTTCATTTGAAAAGTATTAATTTTGTAGAGTAAAAAAGCTTGGGTATTAGAACCTAAAGACCTAATTTAAGGGATATATAACCAAGAACTTTGGGTACATAAGTGAAAAAGCAATTTGCTGGCCTAAGGGAGTCAGAAAGGCCCCAAAGCAGCTACAACAGAGCTGACATAAACTATATTTACTAGACTGATAAATGTGTAGTGTTTCAAGTTACAACATATTTCAGACTGAGGGAACAAGATTTGTTGAAGCCTGGTCTCAGCTTCCTCACCTGTAAAAAGGAATTAACATCTACCATGCTTAGCTATTCTAGGGATTAAATAAATAAAACATGTAAAACATAAAGCAGGGCTTCTGGCACATGATAAATGCTTAATAAATATTCTTTTTAACATGTGGTATATTTCTTTTGTTAGTTACTACATAAAGTCTGCTATTACTTATCTCATCACATGTATTCTTAGATTATATAGATTATATGTTACCTTAAGGTAAGAACCTTTGAGAACTTGTCTTGTAATTCTTAAATCCATGACACTAAAGATTAATAATGATCTGTCTTTGACATGTTATAGAGCTTTCACAATATGCAGAAGTAATAATATCTCATTCTTTCCTCCCAACTCCCTATTTTATTATATATACAATCTAACATTTAAAAAGTTTGAATTGTGCAGCGATTATCTTTAACTAACTTCTAAATAGCTTTCATTAGACTAAGAGCAATTAAGTTTTCTATAGAAAATATTATTTTTCCTGAAGAAGCTGCTGTTTTAATAAAGGTATAATAGAAGTGAAGTTAAACTTCATTGTTAAGTAATTCAGTTTTATAGTTATTTCTTTGTTTAGTACCTGAATAGCTGGCTGTTGTCATCAAGATTTTCTGATCCCCATTTGCCTTTGATATCTTCAATTACATGATTCTTAAGGAATTTTCTCAGTAGCTGGATAGTCTGTTGCCTTGTAACTTCAGGACCAAAATTGCTATTATTTCTTAATAGGTCATAAAGCCAGTCCACTGCTTCTCCTGCTGTAAAACAATTGCCATATTTTTTGAAGTGTTGCCTGTGTTTTCTTAGAGGCATTCCTGCTCTGAAAGATGTGGTAACTTCATTCCACTGCAAAAGAAAAGAAAATTATATATAAAAAAAGGAAATCTTACTGATTTGAAGCAAATTAGACAAATTCTCTCATTCACATCTTATTAAATAATTAAAATTCATGAAAAAATCACTTGTTTTATTTGTGCTAGAGAAAATTTTATATTTCATACTGATTTCTTTTTATAAATTCTAGTGTTGTAATATTTTTATCTAATAGTTTTGTACTAAAAGCACTTCAGTGGCTGGTTGGCTTATTTAGGAAACCTAGGAATATTGGCGAACGGCAATGAAATTACCTTTAGTCCTCAATAAAGAAGGCATTTATTCTTGCTTTTTAAAAAAATCTCAATATTAATAATATGCTAGTTGCACTTGTGTCAGACACTACGCTTTACATTATTTTAATTTAATCCTCCCAATTCTGTGAATAGGTAACATTACTATCCCATTTTCAGATAAAGAATACGAAGCACAGAGAAATTTAATAATCTGACCAAAGACACACAGCTAAGTGATAAATCCAGGCATTCAAACTCAAGTTGGACTGACTTTAGAACCTGCACTAGTTAACTAGGCAGGCTGAACAACTCACGGCAGGTGTAGTTTTATTGGTAAATTATCTTTAGTATTATAAAAGCTTACATGTTTACTATAAGGGTATTCTCTTAAGGGAATATATCACTAGTGAATATAGAACAGATGGGGTAAATTAAGTTCTAAGTCTATTGTTTGTTTTATGACACCGTGACATATCTACACTTTAAAGAGATACATTTTCCGTTTACTGTCTTCAAATTACCCAAACTTTAAGTTTCATGGCAGGTCAAAGAGTGGAACATGGAGATGGTGTTGGTGCAGAATAAACATATCACTTTTTAATGGAAAAATCCTACATGAGAGGTCAGGGAATCTGATTTGTAATCCCAGCCATGCTGCTACTAGCTATGCTACCACTTACCTAACCTACGTGGCCCCAATATTATAACGCAAAATTTAAGGGCTGAAAATTGTATTCTTTTCTTCCCACACTTCCACATTTGATATATTTATTCAAGAAATTTATATTGAGCTGCAATTTGGAGAATAAATTGATTCCTATTCTACAGACTACTATGCACTTTCACAGTGTATATATCCTGGGAAATCTCTTAGACTGGGCATGTTTTATGAGCCCTGTTTTACTAGTGTGTAAACTGAGGCTCACTGAATGATGCTCCTAATATCATATAACCAGTGGCATAGTATCCTCTTAAATTGAAAATCCAAATGCACAAGACACCATATACAAGTACAACCCAAGTGACCACCAAGAGTGGCTCCTGATGGGTACTTAAGACATTCTGGGTTTAGTTATGAAACAGTCAGCTGTTACTTGGTGGTATTCAGTCCGAACATCCAGTCTTACATTCTACAGGACCGGCAAAGTGACCCTGTCACAGTCGGGCTTGCCCCCAGTTTGACCCTAAAGCCCAAGAACTCATTCAAAATTCTTCTCGACTCCTGATGCGGGCAGGTGTAGGGAAAGCCTAAACTCGGAATATTATACGAAGTTTCAGGAGTCGCCTATGAAGCGGGCCCCCGGAGCAAAAGAGGGGGACAGACTCTCAAAGGAGGGGGGCAGGCGAGTTCCCCAAAGGTCGGCGATACGGGTTAAATCCCCTCACCCTCTTTTTCCGCGAACCGAGCGGCTCTGGGACCCGTCCCTCCACCCGAGGGAGAACTGCGAACGTTCTCACGTAAAAGTCGTGGCGGCCATCACCTCGGCTGCCCAGTCTCGGCGTTCCGCGCTGTCTTACCAGCCTGGTGGCCCGATAAGGCCCGGGAGGCACACCCCGATTCTCCATTCCTCCCACCCGGCCAGAAGACCCGTCAGCGCCGGGTGCCGGGCATGGCGGCGAAAGGCGACAGTCAGTCCGAGGCCGCGGCGGCGTAGCTCAACACAACCGTCGGCCCCGCGGCGGATTTGAATACCGCAGAGGGCTGCGCTGATTGGCTGCGCCGTCTGGTC